TCTGGTCGGAAATTAACAAAAATAAAATTGGGTAACATCACATGACGTAGCCTTTACAGCAAACTTCCGACACGAAATTTCGGGTTATTATACAGACAAGATGTATCACCCTGTGCAACAGGATTTAACTTTAAATTTCATAGCAGAACCCCACACGAATTATTTTAATTCGTTCTGTCTGATGAATTAGTCTAAACAAACAGTAATTTAAGGAGCCCGCTGTGTGACAAACTAGACTTCTTACTATAGCCCCGATACAGCATATGAGCACGCATATGAGCGCACAGCCTTCACGTCGTCTTTGTGAATAACGCGACATGTCCATGTAAAGGAAATAAATATCTATCACCTACTAGTAATAACAAAGTGTTTATCAACTCCCGCTGTGTCGTGTCTATAATCATGTCTTCAGGCAATGGCAATGGAAGTCATAAAAACGAAATGAGGTCTGTAATTACTTTCAGAATGCCGGAAACTCTGCATGTGGCAAGACAACAACAACGGCTTGAAAAATATAATAAGCAGACACACGTCAAAGAAACCTTCTACACATAACGGTGACGATGAAGGCAGCTACATTCTAACTAGAGAAATATTCGCATGGTTTAATTTTCGTTTTAGTTGGAAACCAAGAAAACCTACAGCAATTGATCGTTCCTAGTATTCTAACATATATTGGCAACTCTTAACACAATGTCTTACAGTGAAAGTGGCTTATTAAAAAAAGTCAAAAAATAAAAAATTTGGAAAACAAACTATACAGATTAGACATTACAATAGGAAATACTCAATTCATTAAAGAGTATGATTTATTGTAAAAAAAGAGTTATGATATTCGATTATGAGCAGCTAATATAAGATGAGCAAATGTAATTTGAAATTTACAAATGAATGTTTGGCAACTGGAAAAAGTTACTGGTCGAATTCTACAAGACATCGGGAAATTTATTCGGATTTGATGGTTATAAAGATCGAAATTCGCAAATTCAAATGATTATTCAAAAATAAAACCCATGAAAATGATGGTATTGGTCATGAATGATATCTTGAATTTTGGTCGATGTAGGAATTAATTAGTTAAATCGTGTATTACTTCATATGCCAGGAGGGACCAAATAAACAGTCAAGAACGAAAGGTGTATAAGGTATAGCTCCGTGTATAATGAAGACTTCAACTCGCTTGGCGAATTACAAAAGTCCCACATCAAGGCGTGAATAAATTAACATGTAATCGGCCAATAACTGCATTCGATGGCGTGATCACGTGATTGTCAGGAATGTGTCTCGAAGATTCGAGCAGTCACAATTGGGGTTGCCGCTATGGGGCACAGTTAGTACACAGTGTGTTTATGAAATTAATGAAAAATATGTTTATAATATCTATCCTTAACATGAATGTCGTTGATCCTAAATAACACAGGAACACGATGTGAACTCAACGTGTGTACGTGATGTCACTATAGTAACACATCTTGCATGAAACACTAAGTGCGTTTGTTAAAAAACGCCCTATCAGTGACTTAACACTTTTAATTTAAGGTATAATGAGGTATACGAAGTATAATAACCTCCTCGGCATACTATAGAAATTAGTTTTTATAAAGCATTCTATTTACTAGGCATGTTCCTCCCGTGCAAATTGGCCTTACGTCTCCCCAATAATACAACTATTTGTCCTAGTCATTTGAAATAAGTGCATTCACTACTTGTTATATCAAGTTGTCTTTTGATGGCAGTTTAACGAGGAGCGCGTGATTTTACGGTGGCTGGCGTATTTGCCGAGTTGTGAGTTCGAATCATGTTTATGTTTATTGTTATTAGCTGTAGTATTTATTTGTTTGTTTTATTTGTAAAGTTTATTTTAAACGACGTGGCAAGGAATATTATGATCAATTAATTACACATTATGGCATAATTGTGCTAGGCATATTTGTACTATCTTATTTACTCGACAATGAAAAACAATGTATTCTGTGCATCCAACTCAACTAGTAATTAAAAGCCCTTTGGAAGAAAATTAATTTTCCGATACAATTTTGCACGCAAAAATGTATTCCCGCCATTGCCATCGATTTATTGTTACAGTAGTATGTTTTTCAAAGATCTGTGTGTTTCCTGGATCTTACCAATAAAGGGATTGTTTATGTATCACGCCATTCTAAGAGTAATTGAATGTTTAATCCTTGGGCAATCTTTACCCGCTGGCTTTCACACTATACCACCTACTTTTGTAGTTGTGAATTATATCTACTCTCTCGGACAACTCGCCGATTTCACCGATGTGATATATAAAGTAGTTTCTGTCTTATGTCCATCTCAGGCAGATATCTCGAATCTGGGAAGTTAATTCACATATATGTTGTATTTTACATTAAGAATACATACTGCGCTATGAAACCGAAATCATTAACTTCCTATTCCATTGGTTAAGTCATATGTTACGTAGTACCCTTGACAATTGTATATACGTTACTATTCCAGTGCTAGAAGTAGTTGAAACTTATTACTATTAGATTTGGTGGTAAAATGTACGTTATCCTACAAATAAAATGTTTAAAAATAGAAAATGTATATCGCATGTATTTATATTTGCATTGGAATAAATACCCGCACATAAATGTAACAAAAACAATATCACAACACAAATTGATGTTTATACTACAGTTACCGAATATCGAACTAGGACATAATAATAATAAAATTAACTTATTTTTTGCTTATTTCGAGTTTCCTGCTGCCTGTCATTTAATGGAAGCAGCAACATTTTATTTTAAAAACCGTCTTTAATGACGTTAGCTTGGGTTGAATTGTGAAACCATCCTGTGTGTATAGCATATGTAAGTTTGTGGTATGTTGTAGGTTTCCTGATTTAAATTATCCTGCTAGTGTTTGCTTATATGTTTGTAAGATAGCTATAATCGCAATCTAGTACGTTGATACGAAACCGATATACTACTGTGTTGTGCATGTCTTCGGAAGGTTCACTTGATTTAGCCAAAATGTACGTTACACAAGACAATGTACATTTCAGCAACGTAATATTAATTACATCGAGATCATCGATTTTCGAACGAGGAACTAAGAATTGTTTTACATCCCACTATTGATTTCACAACATTTGATTAAGCATAATATATTGCGCAGAACTATCAGGGGAAATTCTTCTCTCCTCGGGGTTCTCCACACTTATCAGGGGGGAATCTCGTCTCGTCTCTATATCGCGTCCCCTTGAGGTACGGGATCAGGGAAGTCACTTAAGCTTTACAGTCAAATAAGACACACACAACGAAATACGTTTCAGCTCTCGTCTTAGTCGGTCATTCGAGCACTCTGTAAGACACAGCGCCCTGGGAAAAAATCCCCAAGACTATCGCAAGGCTGAATCAAGACTCGCCCAAGACTGGACTGCCTCAAGGCTCGCCCCAGGACTGGACTCTCGACTGCGTCTATTGTGCTGTACTCCCCAAGACCAACTCAAACTCTCTTTATTAATTTTCAAAATTCTAACCATTTACAAAACAGTAAAAAGACTCTAGGGCGTAACCTTCAATCATAAAGCCAATCACACTAAGTACTGAATACGTCATATCTTTTGATTAATCGTTCACTACATTA